GAACCGAACTGAGTCTACACTTTAAATACTTTACTTACCCAGTGTAAAAGAGTGACAAAAGTGGGCCATTTCTCCAGCAAAAATCATTATTTGCATTTTGCTTCCACATTCGACCAACTCTAAACGTTTGAATTTTGTAATTGGACGAACCAACTTGCAGCATAATGTTTAGGTATCCTTTTCGTACATTTGATGGAGCCAGGTATTCACACCATCTTATACACTTTACGTGGACTGCGCTACTGTTACTATCGAAAGCTAAGGAACAGAAAATTCTCTGTGATCAACTCTGAGTAAACATGGCCACCAGGCGAATGTTTGGAACACGTGACTTAGTTTGGGCGCGTGACTAAAGTATACGCGAGCTCGTGTGAGCTACTCGCGCTCCCGCGGGTATGATTACCCCGAAGGACGTTCACAAAAAGGAAGACAGAAAACAAATCGCCAAACTAATACTGTCCGAAATTTTAATACAATAATACATTATCGGGTGATCTGAAATCACCCGAACACTTAGTAAGAGAACGCAAATTTTCGTGGCACAAATGTCTCGTCTCTTGGAGCATGGAAACCAGTTAGCGGCGCAAGAGTTACTGGGAGAATCAAAATGGCGGAGACAAGTGTGTCTGTTATCGATGTATCAATTTATAGTATTTCGTTGTGAAAATGTCGTTCTGGGCATTTGTAATGTGTCAGGTGGAAACTAGTGAAAGTTTGGGAGGTGTATTTCCTTGTGGTCTGATCAACAAAACCTTCTAAAAAGATTCGATTGACTGTATAAACTGCCAGGGTCATCAAAGTTTTCTGGAGCCTGGCAAGGGTTCTGTCCTCGTGTACCGGTTCACAAGAACCGATACAAAAGACCCAACAATGTTCAACAGCTAAACAAAGGTTCGTAAAGAAAGGAGTACAATGGTTATTCCCTCTGTGTACCGGTACACCAGGACACAACCCTGACAAGTAGATGGTGAAATTTGACAGGACGTGTTCTTACGAATGAACTTAGCATGCGGTACTCATTATGGTATTGGAATATTTTGCCTGACTGAGGCAGGAGAGCATCAAATCGATGGGGTCCCTGAAAAGGACTGAAATTGACAGTGGAGATGCCAAAAATGGCAGATAAGTCTACCAAGATAACCATTTTTATAATTCAGGGAGCATTGTAAATTAAAGGCATACAAATGAGCTAAATTAATTTTAATTTCCCTGTTGTTTGAATAATTTATGGGAAATATACAAACATTTCAAATTAAATCAAGATATTTTAAATTCAAAATTTTTGTCACTGTGGATATCTTTTTATTAGTTTTGTTTGATTTTTTTTTTATTGTGATATCTTCACTAATATTCATCCTACCCTGCTGGTGTTTATTATTATTATTATTATTATTATTATTATTATTATTATTATTATTATTATTATTATAGTAGTAACTGTTCAGTGTTGTGGTAATTCTTTCTTTAATAGTATTTTTTTTTAATGGATTGAAATCTGGCCCGGGTTGTTGGAAAGCCGGTTAGCGCTAACCCAGGTAATATATATATATTATTTTATATAGAAATATCTTTCACTGCTTATGGTTGTGTAGTTTTAAAATGAATCAGACTCAAAACTGAAAGACGAACAACATAAACATAAAACTGGAACGAAAAAATACAAAAATGAAAGTAATTCTCTCTAATCCCGGGTTAGTTTAATCAGGCCTTGAACAACCCAGCCTTAAATATTTGAGACTGTGGTGACTTAATTATGTACCAGTACTGGTACAATATTGGTTTATTGCAAGAGATAAATAGACTGACTGTTGCTAAGTTTAAATTTACCGTAAATCCTCGAATTAGCGCCCCCCTCGAATTAGCGCCCCCTTTGAATAAGCGCCCCTCCTATCGGCCGAAATTTAAAATAAGCGTCCCCTCCCCCTCGAATAAGCGCTCCCCTCCCCTTCCCCCATTTTGTGAACGAGTAATGAGACAACAAAGGGTGTATAGTTTTTGTCATGTAGTATTAGATTTGTACATTGTTTTTCAGTTTGTGGACACGTTTAGTGAACACGTTGAACACGTTAAGTACTAACGGTGCCGCGATTTAAACTTCAGGATCAGCTTTTTATGTCAATAAATAGCTTATGTTGGTGTTTACGCGCAGATGATGTATTAAAAAAACTGATCATGTCAGGCTACGATTTGGGAAAAATTAAATAAGCGCCCCCCACCCCCCTCGAATAAACGCCCCCCTCGAATAAGCGCCCCCGTCTTACCCTAAATTTGAAATAAGCGCCCCAGGCGCTAATTCGAAGATTTAAGGTATATCACTCGAGAGAAATAAAGTCTCCTCAAGTCGCCTTAAGTCGCCTTAAGTCACCTTAAGTCGCCTAAAATCGCCTTAAATAACCTAAAGTCGCAATGTTTTTTCTGCCAATTTTGCTTAAGTCGCCAAAAGTCGCCTTAAATCGCCCAAAGTCGCCTTAAGTTACGGCGACTTAAGGTCCCAGAGTAGGCCTAGCCTCTGGAAGATATTACGAGCGTATGGAATTCCTTCCCAACTTACTGAGATCATCTAAAGCTTCTATGACAACTTTACCTGTTGTGTTGGTGATGGTGACATCATATTTGAACTCCACACTGGAGTCAGACAGGGTTGTGTCATGTCCACATTGCTTTTCAACCTTGTTGTGGACTGGATCATGTGGCGGACCACTAAGGATCAGATCAGGGGCATCAGATGGACACCCTTTTCCTACTTTGAAGAACTGGATTACGCTGATGATCTAGCCTTACTATCACACACCCACACGCACATTCAAGAGAAGACACAACGCCTTAACACCTTTGCAAAGCAAGTTGGCCTCAACATCAGCAGCAAGAAGACCGAAATTATGGCACTGAATTCTACCAACACACGACCAGTCCAGATTGATGATGAAGAACTTCCTTACACAGACAGATTTACCTATCTCGGCAGTATCATCAGTAGAGATGGAGGAACTGACCTGGATATCCAAAGCCGTCTCAACAAGGCCAGAAACTCGCTCAACATGATGAATAAGGTATGGCGCTCCTCCACTTACAGTACTCGTACCAAGCTGAAACTCTATCATAGCTGTGACCTCACAACTCTCCTGTATGGTTCAGAATGTTGTGGCTTAACGGAGAAGGATTTATCAAAACTCTCCACATTTCACACCAAGAGCCTTCGGCATATCCTACGCATCTTCTAGCCTAATGTCATCTTAAGTAAAGATCTCTTTATACGGTGTAGAACTGAACCAATGACTACCATCCTGATGAGGAGACGCTGGAGGTGGATTGGCCATGTCACCCGTCAAGAAGTTTTCATTGCAAAAACTGCTTTACATTGGACGCCAGAAGGGAAAAGCAACAGGGGCCGCCCCAAGATCACGTGGCGACGGACAGTGGAGAAAGAAATCAAGGAGATGAGGAAGACCCGGGGAGGAATCAAGCTTATGGCAAGGGACCGGCAGATGTGGAGGGAGCACGTTGCTGCCCTTGATGCCACCTAGGCGTACGCGTAATGGGCATGACTGAGTGAGTGATCATGTATTTGAGCTACTATACCCAAAGTAAGCAGTTGCGAAAGTTATACAGGCCCTGAAACCATGCTGCAAAGAGATCACCACTCCCGTGATACTTTTGCATTACTCTAACCAACTATCAAGCATTCTAGGAGCTGGCCAATTTGTGATTTCGTAATATACCCGTAGTTGGTGAAGACAAGGAAGTAAATACTAGATGAAATATCATCATACATTTGAGCTCAAAAGAATGTTTACTTTAAGACATTTATGGCAGTTTGATTTGACTTATCGCTTACTTCTTTGCCTTTAACTTTTGGAATGTTCTTCTGCAGAACCCTCAAAACCAAGATTTCTAATCCATCCAATCTCCCAAGAAAATATTGCAACAGGACAGAAGACAAATTTCAGCTGTGAGGCATTTGGAATTCCAAGGCCAGTTGTAACTTGGTTTAAAGATAATCGTACAGTAGCTAAAAACAGAATCAAAGAGATCAATGCGATGTTTGTGTTGACCGTTGATTCTGTCGTACAGCAAGATCAAGGAAGATATTGGTGCGAGGCAAATAATGATGAAGGATGGAATCGATCTGCCGTCGCCAACTTAACAGGTGTGATTTATAATGAAAAAGCTTGTTAACAAGCCTTTGTATTTCTTTCACTCACTGATATCACAGAATTTTTAAAGGTGCCATTGTCTTGCAATTTAAGGTAATTATAGAGCTGAGGAACTGGTTACAGAAGTAATATAACGTGTTTAAAAATTGTAGTAAAACGGAAAAGAAATACAGAAAGAGGCCATGGATGGGCAAAATTGGAGAAAGTAAAAATGTATCACATTCAGATAGACTTAAAAAAAGATAAAAAAGTTTATCTTATATCATTGTTTGCTATGTCAGGCTGTAAATTTAGTCATAAAAGACTGTTGCTCTGTCAAAATGAGCTGAATTAATAAGATATCAGTGGCCAAGCCCCTTATGCGAATGTGAGTTGAATTTGCAAGTTACTAGGCAGATCATCAATACTCACAAAACTTCGTTCGCCTCAATATTCCAAAGACACGCAGCAAAGATCATCTAACTTAATTAGTCAGAGGTAAAGTTGTTTTTCTGTCCCTATAGCGGAAAATATGTAGTATATTAAGTAAGTAACGTTCTTTACAACAGTTATCTGGAAGCCGGTATTTTTAACACAGCCTAAAGACGTCGCTGTAGAAGAAGGAAGTAACGCTACCTTTAAGTGTGCAGCAACTGGCTCCCCGCGTCCAGAGATTACCTGGTTGAAGGACAACTCAGTCCTCTTAAATCCTTCCCTGATTCAGAACGGAAGCGTCTTATACTTGGTCCTTCGTTCGGTTACGAAAGAACAACACTCTGGCATGTACCATTGTGAAGCAACGAATCTAGCAGGAAGGACACCATCAGAAGCGGGAACGCTGACGGTAACATCGAAGGTGGCTGCGATACCAACAGTAAGCACATTCCCGCGTGAGGGTAAGGATCGTTTTAGATGCAGATTTACGAAAGAATAATTTCCGTAAGTCCGAATATGGTGGCATTCACTAGGCTACGTCATTTGTTTTCTGGATCTGCTGAGCACATATATTTATTACTATAGCATATAAGTACTTAATTACTGGTCTCAAGGGAAACACTGAGTTTTGTTGCCCCAAGACCTTCAATGTTCCCGAGGAGATTGTAAAAGGGTAGAGCAGTCGGTTTTGATGAGAAATCTAGACCGCGGTCAATATTGGTTTTAGTCAATCATCTTCGTGAATTTGGTACTTCCCTCCTTGCGAGACACTGCTCTGTGGTAATCCAATGTGATCTAATAATAATAGTAATAATAATAATAATAATAGTAATAATAATAATCATAAATGATAATTGATAAAAAAGGTAACATACGCTGTCTCTTATTTAGGTCTAGATTATCTCGTAAGGTAATGGCAACCTGACATGCGGCTTGTTTTAATTTCGGTAGGAAATGATGCACCGAATCACAGACCCACTGGGTTTTCTGTGGAAATAACTTCAGCCTCAGTTGGTTCAGTGGTCGCCGTAATAGTCTTCGCAACAATTTTTTTCTTTATGAGAAAGTTCTGGTGTAAACAACAAAACAGCAAGCCTGATCCAGGGGTGAGACGAGTGATCTGCAACCAATAGCTCACTAAAATTAGCGATGCATACCAAATTTGAGCAAATCTATTTTTTTTTTTTTCGTCCAGTGGGACCGAAGCAATCCCATAAGCGCCCGAGTCCTTACTGTCAGCCCAGGCCATGACCCCAATTCGAAGTGAACTATAGCATCCGCATGCTATTTGATTACTTTACTGGATATTTGCATTAGCAGTGTATAGCCTAAGCTGTAACCTCAATTGGGAAACATATACTCCAGAGTACCTTTTAGAAATCCCCCCCCCCCCGCCCCACCAAAAAAAGGAAACAAATTGCTTGAAAATGATGTCAGAATCATCGAAAAGTTGGACTACTGTAATTTTAATACTGATATCAGAGTACAGAAACTAATTAAATCCTATCAAAGATGAGGGATTACGGGTAAATACGGAACAAGTAGTTGTCGTCACGGTGGAATAGAATCTAACAAAGCGACATCATAGTGATATAGAAATGTGAGTTTAACTAGACCTTTGCATATCAAGAGGCGTTAGATTTATTGGAAGGGTAGACAGAGGTCAAAAGTACCTGAACGAAGTACAATGTACTTCGCCGCTATATTTTAATTCGTAGAAAGCAGAAGGTCAAGAAGGGTTTCCAATATTGGACAACAGAGGAGATGCATTGGCCCATCTGATGGACGAGCAAAGTGTCTCAGGATTCCAAGAATCTAGCCAGTCCGTCGAAGATGATCACAAGGTCGTTGATAATGAAACGTACTTGAGAGAGATGGAAATTGACAGGAACTGGCAAATTCCTCGAGAAAACGTGGAGATAACAAGAGAGAAACTTGGCAGAGGAGAGTTTGGTATTGTATACAAAGGTTTCTATTTGAGGCAAGACGGTTGCAAATTGCCAGTTGCTGTCAAGACTGTAAGAGGTTTGTGTTTATTTTTGTTTATTTTTTATATACGCTAAGTTTAACACTTGAAACGTAAATGGATAAATTGAACAGTCGTTTCATTCTTTTTTTTTCCCTTAATTTATACTGATGTGTCAAATCTCACTGTCTTTCAGTTGCCCTGCAAACGATACATACGTCCGCAATGCCATCGCCAATGCGACACGATAAAAGCCTCATTCTCCGTAGCTAACAAAAGTAAAGACAATGCTAAAGTTGCTTTGACCTCCTCTAATACGCAACTCAAGATTTAGGAGGAACACTAATAATTTATGTTCTGTTCCGGCAGATTCACAACTATCATCTACATGGCGACACTCAGAAATTGAGCTGCCGAACTCGGGCGAGTAGGTTCTGGCACCAACTTGGAAGCTTATATACATGCACAAAATATCCACCCTGCGGATGTTGTGTTGATTCATGCTAAGAGCAATGCAGCTGCAAAGAAGATCAGTATAAGCGAAAACGGGCCAGAAATTGTCTATTTCTTGTTCTTGTAAAATGTATTGGCGAGGCACACCGTATTGTTGTAAATACAAAAGTTCATATCTTCCAGATAACATGTACACCGTGATTCTATCTAGGCAGAATTTAAATTCTTGCAGATAGTAATAACCAAGCGGATCGACTGGCACTCATCGGCGAAATGGAGACGCTTATCAGGGTTGGACGCCATCCAAATATCGTCAGCCTGGTTGGAGCATGCACATTTGAAGGTACGACCAAGAATTGTTTGGACTGCTGTATTTAATTGGAAAAGCGGCCTTACGCTTATTAATATCATCTTCGAGGTCGTCAGATGGCTTTACCAAGGTCGGCACTTGTCCGAGTGAATACGCTAAATACCAAAGGGAGAGACTACTAATTGGTTGTCTCGATAAAGAAACAATTTCGGGTTGATAAAACATTAGTTTAATGACATCTGTTTTGTTATTTTGAATTCACGGCAGTTTACAATCAAGAGATGTTTTTGTCACTGTTTACTCAACTTCAAGATGGGATTTAAATTTGATGAGGGCATTTTTAACGTGATATCATATCATTCCACATATCATACATTCCATGGCCTGGAATTTATAACTGAGATATCTACTTGTAGCTGTTCAGACTTCAACTACCACGTTTATCTACCGTGAGTTCTCTAATTAAATCAGGTATATCTATAAAATTAACATTGTTGCAAAACTTAACGTTTTTTGTTTGCTATTAGAACCATTATACGTTGCTGTTGAATTCGTGTCTGGTGGAAGTCTTGATAAGTTACTGCGCGAAAGTCGGGTTCGAAGATGCACAGAACAAGAGCAACTTCCGTATGCTAACATATGGTCCAGACTGACGGAAAGGGAATTGCTGCGAATTGCTTCAGATATCGCCAATGGAATGCAGCATTTGGAAAGTAAACTGGCAAGTCACACTCTAATTTATTAAGCAGATTATAATTCTGATGCTTTTAAAGGTCCATTAATCGACTCGTGCACGCGCTAGCGCAGGTTGCTAAGAGGGGAAAACTTCACTTCTGCGGCCTGTTTCTTGAAGGTCCCGAAAAGTTTTCGCGACCAAAAAGTCGTGGCAAAATCTCAAACCTTTTGACTACAGAGCTGATTTATTCATATATTCTTAATACGAACAGAGGTTCAGTTCATTTCGATGCTTAAATGTGGTTTCATTGACTTGTTGTCTGATTGACTAATTGACTGGTTGATTGATTGCCTGACTGACTGACTGACTGACTAATTGACTGATTCACTTATTGACGGAATGACGGATTGAAGGATTGACTGATTGACGGATTGACGGATTGACGATTTGACGGATTAAAGGATTAATGAGTTAACCGATTGATGGATTGACGGATTGACGGACTGACGAATTTATGGATTTATGGACTGACGGATTGATGGATTGAAAGATTGACGGATCGACGGATTGACGGATTGACGGATTGACGGGTTGACGGGTTGACGGATTGATGGATTGACAGATTGCCTGATTGATGGATTGACGGATTGACGGATTGATGGATTGACAGATTGCCTGATTGATGGATTGACGGATTGACGGATTGAAGGACTGACGGATTGATGGGTTGACGGATTGACGGATTGATGGGTTAAGGATTGAGGGATTGAGAGATTGATTGAATGACCAATTGATCAGTCAATCAGTCTATCAGTTAACCAGTCAGTCAGTCAAGCAGTTAAAATGTCAATCAGTCAATCAGTCAACCAGTCAATCAGTCAATCAGTCAATCAGTCAATCAGGCAATCAGTCAATCAGTCAATCAGTCAACCAGTCAATCAGTCAATCAGTCAATCAATCAATCAATCAGTCAATCAGTCAATCAGTCCGTCATACAGTCAGTCAATCAATCAGGAAGAAGGGCTGGCAAGCTTTCTCACCTACACTTTATAAAACTTAGCTGTTGCCTCCGCAGGGTTTTGGCTAGGATGTATCTTTGGAGTCCCCGCGTGAATAAGAAGTTAAATGATTTGGATATCTACGCAGCCCAACTGTTTCACTATAAAACAAAGACCAAGTCCTTCTTTGAAGTTTTATACAAATTTTTATTGTACTTTATTTGGATG